ATACATACATACATATTTTGCCTTTTGCCCCTGATGAACTCATCCGCTTGAACATTAACATTTTTTGTAATTTGTTTACAAAACACTGGGATTATTTAAATTTAACACATTTTTGTCGCTTTTGACTTTCTATTGTATTTTGTTTATGTCATCGCCGCCTACACCTGAGCGTAAATGGCTTTATGATCGCTTCAAAATAGCCGGCTTTGGCCACTTGTGGCTGGGAATCGCATGAAATATCTTTTACAAATACGTTTTAAGTGGCACTTTGCGCAACTTGATAGCTTATTTTTCGCTAATATCCATGTATGTATATACAAATTTATTAATTTAGCTAATGCTTGCATAAACTAATTTTGCGCAGCAGAAGAAAGTATGCAATCAATTTTTAGCGAGTTGCCGGCAACGGCCATTTTGTGAGCCTCAGAGGTTATGTTTGCAATTGATACTAGAAAGCTTGAAGGAAAAACTTACCCGACAATTTTTGCTGCTTTTTGGGTAGAAAAATTCTTTTGAAGCTGTTAATAATGCAGTTAAAAACACAGGTACACGGAGCGTGCATTTTTGGCATCAGACTTTCGTGCACTTGCGGCTTGCAGGTCTTTACATACACACACACACATCACTTATATTTATACATGTTTTATTGCATACACTTACATGCTCTTTTTACTTCTTAGCACACTTGCATATTCTAACTATTACTTCACACTTTTATTATAAAATTTTCCTAAAATGCACACAATTCACTTCACTAAATTTTTGACTTCACACTTCGGTTTTACGCGCCACAAACAGGACATGGAAGCAGTAGTAAACAGCTGTTTGTCAAATTGCATTGTGAACGGATATGGCGCAGTGTTGCATTTCCGTTTAATAAAACGGAAACATTTGTGCATGACTTTAGATATTAATTTGCTTTAAAATTTTATATTAGACGCTATACAAGTTAACTTTATTTAATTTTGCACCTTTGCTTTGTTTGTCAAATTGCATCGTGAGCGAATATGACGCAGTGTTGCTTTTCCGCTTGGAATAGCAGTATAAATAGGTAAAATTAATAAAAAATAGGCATTAAAATTAAACTAAAAAATCAGTTTTTGAAACTTATCAATTTAATTTTTTTGTACTTCCGCCGCATCAAAATCAACATCACAGGCGCAAAAAGAAAAAAGTAAACGGAAGTATAAACAGGGATGCAGTAAGGTGCTCGTCATGTTAATTGTGAATGGTCAGTAGGCAATCTTGCTCTTCCGCTCAGCAATAATTGTTACTTTGCATGGGTGTGAATATATTTTTCCGGAAGACTTTTGCTCTTCTCAGCTTAATTGTTTTCAATTTTATGGCGAAAAATAGTTAAATTTTTTCGTTCACTTCCAGCTTATTTTTCAAATTGCGTAAGGTGGTGTTACTGGCGAATTTAGGGTTTCGCCGCAGCCCTTCTGAATGTCAAAAATATGTGTTTGTTGTAAACAAGGCGAATTCGTATTACAACAAACACATCATCTTGACATTCAGAAGGACCGCGGCGAAAATCTAAATTCCCTAGTAACACCACCTTGTATAAATTCGCCGTGATACGAACGGCTGTGGAAGTGATGGTGGCGAAACAGCTGTTTCTCACATTCTATTGTACATAGTACATCCGTAGTGTCCCGCTTCCGTGCAGCAAAAATTGTTGCACATTAGTAATTGCTGCATTTTAACAAAATAAACAATATTTTACCGTGTGTGTGTGTGTTTGTATATATTTAATTACATTTAATACTCTATTGCAATATTCCTAAGCAACCTGCTTGCTGTAGACACAGAATATTCCCACATATATAATCATAAATTGCGTTATAATTGCATGCAGTGGTTCTTGATAATACTTGCAAACAATTTTACATAAAGTAAAAAACTGGTTGCAGCAAAAAATATGAATCAAAAACCGGATTAATTACAAATTAGTGAAAGGAATTTGGCAAGTGGCCAGTGGTAGCAGTGGCGGCGCATTTTGGGGCCAAATTAGCGTTTGCATGCAAGCAAAGTAAAAACACATAAACAACTGATAGCAGCAGCTAACTAGTAAGTTAAACATTTTGGCGAAAAAATGCAAAGCAAATACATACATATTGCAACCACCGCCCCATTCGCACAGGCCAACCAACACGCAAGGCGTTAAACTTGGTCATAAAACCCAACCGCTGGTGGCTGGTGGCCGCTGACTGACGAAAAACGCTGGCGTTTATGGTTATGATTGCTAGTGTATGTTGAACGCCGCAGCGGATTGAGCAACGCTCACTCACTCACTTGCCTAGTGGACGGAATGACTTAATGAGCAGCACAACGTGCAGTGACCATCGGATAAAACAAATGGAAAAAAGTGTGAAGCAAATAAACGCAAATGAAGCGTTGCGGTCTAATTTGCAAGAGTGTAAAAGTGAAATTTCAAAGACTTTTTTGTGGCTGCAATGCCGCACGCTTCGGTGACTAATTTGCGAAATATTATTATACTCCGTTTTAACTGCTTTTTATACAAACATATGCATGCACAGTTGATTTATTTGTTGTTTTTGCGTGGCATTTGGTTAACGCTTTTCATGCTCAAGTGTAACATGCCATATACCATAAATTTGTGTTGCAACACATTATGGCGAGAAAAATAGTTTCCAACAGGCGGCATGCAAGGGAAGAAAGAAAATCGCCTTTGGTAAGCTTGAAAAATATTTTTGCATTTTATGGATATTTAAATACATACATACATAAGTATATTTTTTTTTAAATTTGATTGTTAATTGAGCGCTAATTGCTTTTCGACTGTAGATGACTTTTAGCTGTTGGTTTACAGGTAAATTGGAAAACCTAGCTTGCGTGTGTGTGTGTGGGCAACTGCTTAGTCCATTGCCAGTTGCATTGCGGTGTTAAGCTTCCTGATTACGTAAATTGTTTCTTTGTTTTTTGCTCCATCGCTTTTATGATTTTTTTGTAGTATTTACTTTAATTCCCGCTTTGGTGACACTTACCCAAACATTGCTGCTTATATGTAGTTATGTATGTACGTATGTAAACACCGCTTGACAATCCAATCTTGATTTGAGTTGCCAGCGTTGCATGGCCGCCATCGACGCTAACGCTAACAAGCCATTATAAAAAATCAGCCAATTATTTTCGCAAACGCAACAGCGCATCCAGTTTTGGTTGTTTACAATTGTGCGCCTGCGCAGCGAGTATTTGACTGAGTTTGACTGCGTTTGCTTCGAAACTGCTGCGCTGCAGTTGTTGCGTTGCTAGCGGAAATGCGCGCGCCTAGTGACCGTTATGGCTGTTTTTGCTTGCTGCATATGCACATTTGTATTTATGTACAAAATAATTATGGCGTGAAGACTTTAAAAAGCAACCCGCTCAGCCGTAGCGGTGGTTTGTGATGCGTTTTTTGCCGCCGGCTGTTTTTCTATTTCTGTTCCTCTGAGTTATGTATACGCCACGTAGTGCGTAGTGTGTTGGTTGAAGGAAAAAGGCTGGATTAGTTGCATAAATTCTTAAGAGGGAAATATAAAAACAAAAATTGTGAAACAAAAATAAAAGCACCGTTGCAATGCGGCTAATAAAAAAATTAAAAGCATAAATAATTTTTCTTGTTTTTAATTTTAGTGTTAATATTTTCAAAACTTACCATAAAGTACTCATGAAGGCAAAAGTTTTTGGTTTACAAAATTTTCAAAACTGTTAAATTTACTACTAATTAATATTGTCTTCTATTAAATACATATGTATGCACCTACGTATGTATGTACATACGTATGTATGTATATATGTGTATGTGTACATTACGGTGCTTCATAAAATAGTTGCTAGTTTTCCACCCGAAATATTAAATTTACATACATATATTGTAAGATATTTCAAAAAAAAATATTAAGATTTACGCGAGCAATACCGCGTTCCGCTGAAAAAATTTGACAAATAACACTTATTTGAAAATTTTACAATTTTTTAGGGAAGGTTCCAATTTTAAGACATTTTTTTGGCAAAATACCTAAGGTTCCCAGCATGATTTCTGAATAATAAAAAATTTGTGGTTTAACAAATTATAAAAAATTAATATTTTTAAATTTATTGTTTAGCAATATCTAGCAAATTTGCAACATTTCCTAAAATTTTGTCTAAATAAAAATAAATTTTTCTCGTAGGACTAACAGTTGTCGAGATAAAAATTCGCATAAAAGGCGTTTCTTACATTGCGCACATATTGCAAAATAAAAAAGAATTTGCAAAATGTTTCTGATTTTTTTTCTAAATTTCAACTATTTCTCTTTATATCAGAAAAAAATATGCGCATATTTAAATTAGTATTTATTAAAAAAAAAAAACTTGTATGCTTCTAAAAAAACGAGGTCAAATTTGCGCCACTAACTCACGCATGCGCACAGATTATTACGTTCAGATCAACGTAATCCCCAATGACCCCATTACACATTAATTCCATAAAACGCTTACAAACGGGATGTGCTCACAATGGTTAACGCTGTATTGCTAATTTAATTCACACATTCAGAGCGCGTCGCTGCAGCGCAGGCGCATGCGCAGCTTTCAAATCTAACTAGAAGTAGTATTTTTCCTTATAAATAATCCACATCCGCATTTTGTCTAAGATGAGTTCGTTGTACCGCCGCAGCGGTGGCAGTGCAACGCTTTGCAATCAGTGTCATGCATCAACGTTAAAATGTTGCTGGCCCCAACTACGACACGCCGACGCGAGTACTTTTCAAGTGCAAATGTTGTGTACGTGCCTCCTAGACATTGCTTGTCATATCATTGCTTTCAGTCCAAGTCGCGTACTTTCTACTCACTTTTGTTGTTGTTGTGGCTGTAGATTTCTTACTTACATCTGCCATTTTGCGGTATTTACGCACTCAGCTGTAAAATGGGCAATGCAATACAAAATTGCAGTCGATTGAAATTTACGCACGTACCTACTCCAAGAAAAAGAGAACACTAGCTTTAAAGTGGCTGTATGATTGTGTGTGAGTGAATAATACTTCTTAATATGTAAGACATGACTTTATAAGCGCATAGACCGTTGGTACTGGGTTACGTAGTGGTACCTCCAATGTATGTAAATGGCATAGAAATGTGTGACATTTAGAGCGTCCAAATGGCCTACATTTGGTTGATGTAAAGAATACAAGGTGAATGAGTGAATGCCATTGTCGGATGAGTGTTTTCTTAATGTACATATATATATACATATACATATGTATGTAATATTATTTAAAATTGTTAAGAAATTTTAACATACAAAGTACATATGTATGTAAGTAGCGTACTGGAGGTAGGTTATGTATTAACGTCGACATACATATGTAGTACTTTTTGAAATTATATATGGCCCTGTAACCTCTGAATATACCCTAAACCAATAATGATTTATCATCTAATGTGATATATGTAAACATCCTATTATTATTATTACAATGAATAATTAATGTTGATATGGCAACTACCTTACTTTATACTATTCTACTTAGCCTATTTACTGATTCTCTAAATTACCCCACGTGTTACCTTTTGTTCATTAAAACCTTAAAATACAAAAGGTGTTTTATTTCGAGTTTCATTTCAATTTAATGAACAAAATTATATTGAAGAAGTATGGATAAATACTTGCGTCCCGAAAGTTTCGACATCGAACCATCGGATAACTCCGCTACTCGTGCTTGGGAGCATTGGCGGAAAAGATTCGAAAGTTTCATCGCTGCTCAGGAGCCAGCCGAAATGGACGGGGTAACTCAAGCATCTTGGGACGAGGCAAAGCATCGACTCCTGATAAACCACGTCTCCCCGAACGTATACGTTTACTTCAGTGAAGCACGAAGCTTCAGGGAAGCAATTGATTTGATGGACAAGCTCTACGTTAAGCCAAAAAACGTGCTATTTGCAAGACATGCACTCGCTACGAGAAGGCAACGCTCTGACGAGAATATTGAAACTTACCTGCATGCATTAAAGCAATTGTCGAAAGACTGCGAGTTCGCAGCCGTTGATGCTGATACAAATAGAAGCGACTGCGTACGAGACGCGTTTATATCAGGAATTTCCTCAAGCTCAACAAGGCAAAGACTCCTTGAAAACTTAACGCTGACCCTCGATCAAGCTTACAACCAAGCTCTATCTCTGGAAACCGCTGAAGTCAACTCCTTAAGTTTCAACTCCATAGCCGTGAACGCAGTCACAGACGAACAAACTACGGACCACCACCAACCTCAACAAAACGTACTCAACGGGGATCATGTCGCTGCGGCTCACTTCAATCGACGAAAATGTTTTTTTTGTGGTGGTCAACTACACCTTCGCAAAAATTGTCCGGCTCGTGAAGAAACATGTCAACTGTGTAACAAAAAGGGACACCTCGCCACTGTTTGTAAAAGCGCCAAGTCTCTCGTCCCTCAGGTCGCAAGCAGGCGAAATTCAACAGCGTGTATCACAGCTGCTTCGCCTCACTCTTTACACAAAGCAACCGTTCCGGGCATTATACGCGGGTTTAGAGCTGAAGCCCTTTTAGACACCGGTAGCTCGGTAAGTTTTATTAACGAAAAATTCGCCAATAAGTGCGGATTCAAAAAAGACTTCTGCAACGCCACATTCTCCATGGCCTCGTTGAGTCACACTTCTAAAGTCGAAGGCCAAACTTCACAGTCCATTACCTTGGGAGATCATAAGTACGATAATGTGAATCTTCTTATAGTCAAAAATCTTTGCTCCGATTTAATTATCGGTCACGATGTACTTCAAGAGCATTCATCATTAGAATTTTCATTTGGCGGTCCTAAAAACACTCTGCATGTGTGTAACGTAGCAGAGGCATCGGTACCGCCTGTGTCACTTTTCCCCATTATCTCTCCGGATTGCAAACCTGTCGCTATTAAATCACGTAGATATAACGACGAGGATAGCAAGTTTATCAAGGCTGAAATCGAGAAATTATTAACGGAAGGTGTAATAGAGGAGAGCAAATCTCCTTGGAGAGCACAGGTCCTTATAACTAGAAGCGAAACTCACAAAAAGCGACTAGTTATTGACTATTCCCAAACAATCAATCGCTATACTCAGCTGGACGCTTACCCTCTTCCACGCATAGAGGACTTAGTATCAAAAGTCGCTAAAAATAAGTTCTTTAGTCTAATAGATTTAAAAAGCGCCTATCATCAAGTACCCATCTTACCTGAAGAAAAGAAATTTACGGCGTTTGAAGCACTTGGAAATTTATACCAATTTCGACGTATCCCCTTTGGTGTCTCTAATGGGGTGTCATGTTTTCAGCGGACTATCGATTGGATTATACGGAGAGAAAAGCTGCAGGACACATACGCTTATCTCGACGATATTACCATCTGCGGGCAAACTAGAGAAAATCACGCTCAGAACCTAGACCGATTCATGAACGCCGCTAAGAAATACGGTCTTACTCTCAGCCGTGATAAATGCAAATTTACACATGACGCCATCAATCTCCTTGGCTACAACATATCAAACCACATCATAAAACCCGACGGCGATCGGCTTAGGCCTCTTTTAGCATTGCCAGCGCCACGCGACTTGCCTTCTTTAAGAAGGTCCCTGGGAATGTTTGCTCACTATTCTAAGTGGATACCTAACTTCTCCGAAAGAGTTCACTCACTCGCTAAAGCGACCGCTTTTCCGCTCACCAGT